TTAAATGTATGAAGACACTAATAAGTATGGCTACACAGTTAGTGGCAGTTACTAAAAAACTTTGGTCGGGTACGTGTTGTACATTAAAAAAATATCCATCGCTCTTAATCTAGTTTTTATTGAAGCTGGCACCAAAATACAATCCACGCTCTAAACACTCACGTTGTCTATGCCTTCATAACTACTTTAAATATAAAAAGTTGTGACCTCATCGTTGCTTTTAAAACGAAAAGTAAATTTTAACCTGGTCCACTCTTAAAACCACCTAAACTCTCAGTAGATTTAGATTTAAAAAACTGTATCATACTTTGGACCATTATGTTTAAGTTATCATTAGAATTTCTAGTGAAAATTGTAAATTCAGATATTCAAACTGCACGTAATTAATATAGTAATGATACACGATATAATCTGTAAATCATAATGGGAATAAGTACATCTAAGGATATCTATCAAATTCCATGCTTATTATAGAAAATTCACCTGGTACTACAAGAACCCTTTCTGAATACGCATCCAAGTTCGTAGTCAACTGGGGCTCTCGTTACGGGATCATTGAATATTCACTCGAGCATACTCTTGCGTGGGTACTTCTCTATTGTGAGTGAAATAATGGCCACCGATTAAATGTTTTAGACGAATCATTCTATTATTGCTATACCTATCTGTATATATAAAAATAAATTGATGTTCGTTAGTCTCGCTAAAACTCGAGAACGGCTGGACCGATTTGGCTAATTTTAGTCTTGACTTATTTGTGGAAGTCCAGATAAGGTTTAAAAGGTAGAAAAATATGAAAATTCTCGGAATTAAATAAAAATATCAAATTTTGTTTTTCCTTTGACGTGTCCCCCGTCGGACGGATTCCTTTTGTTTGTTTTAAGTTTATTTTATACAAAAGTTTAGGTCTTTTATTTATCGATTGAGGCACTACGAAGTCTGCCGGGTCAGCTAGTCATTATACAAAAACGGCTAGGATACGCTTTTCCGATTACCTTTACGATTTTAATTGAAAAGGGATAGAACACACACACATATGACTTGTAACGATTGTTACTTATTGTGTACAAATAAAAGGTCATAAGTGCATTTTGCCTTCAAGACCGGCAATATTAAGTGAAATCGATGGATGAATTTTAACAGAAGAAGTAGACAATACAATAAATCAATGTTTCAATTACGATAATAAAAGTTAGAGAAACACTAGAACATGTTTTTTTAATATTATCGTTGACACAATAGTTATTTGAATTTTTATTTATTACTTAGATTGAAAGAGCTCATGGCCCACCTGGAGTTAAGGGGTTACCCGAGCCCATAGACGTCTACAACGTAAATGCCGTCACCCACCTTGACACATCTACGTCGTTGAGCGCTCTATATCTCAGATTTATAATACAACGGCTGCTCCACCCTTCAAAACGAAACGCATCCACACTGCTTCAAGTGTCGTGGCGTGTAACCTCTTTGACAGCACATAAGACTTATAATGACTAGACATAGACTAAGACGGAGACTTGACACGGTGAGAGTATGACTTTTCTAGAATGCAACAAGACGACAGGAAAAAGGGAAAAAGACAATGTATTTATTTGAACTTAATACTTAAAAGGGCGACAAACGGACGAACCGAACGTTCAGTACCAAAACAGCGAGTTTTTTCTTTCTTTTAAAATTATTATAACAGTTGTAGTCTTAAGAGCTGTAGATGCTTGATGAGGATCACATTAAGATGTGTTCACATTTAATGCTAAATTATTGGGACAAGAAGTGTCATGTTTACCATCTCACGTTGAGTTTAATCTTAAGATGCATCATAGAAGTAGCATAACTTATAAAATAGCGCATTACGAAACTACATACCACGAAAACCATTTCAAAACACAAGATGGATATTTCAAAATGAAATTCTCGTGCTCGAAATGGAAGGTATTAGGACAATAGTAAAAATATTGATAAATGAAAAATGTCTCTGAAGGAATTGTAAAATCAGAGCCTAGATATCTTCCACCTTACGTATTCAAACGGTATCGTACAGCGCGCGATTGTGGAACCAGTATCTATGCAAATTCTTTGACATTCCCACTTTGTATATTTATCTGTTGTTATCTTAATGGACTGCTTGCTTGCTTATATGTAGTTGTATGTAAAGATGTAAAGACGATCAAATAATGGACGTATCCGCTTAGAGGATTTTCAGAGAATGCTTCAAACAATTTCTTTATAAATAAATTATTACTAAAAAAACTTGACATGTATAATAATTTTTTTTATGTTATACATGTCGACGCAACATCACTATTTGGTTAACTAAGATTATTTAAAGTTATTTTTCCTAAGTGTTACACATGTCAACAACTGCTTAAGACGGTATTCAAGGGAGTTCATGACTAAGCTACCCTCACGTTCTACTATAAATACGAGTGACTATTGTTGTACAAAACATTCCAACTCGATCAGCCGACTGAGGGGGAGCTCTCTGCTGTTGTAATAAATGGAATTCTTTTGAAAAGTGAGTCTTAATTACTGTTACTATGAAAGGCAATGATAATGATGAAGAGAATGTCGTCAGCAACGCTGACGTCGTCATTTTAAAAACACCATGGAACTAGCGTTTGCTCCGTCATACATAATACAATTTATTTATACACTATTAACTCATATTAAGATTTCTTTAAACGGCAATATGGTGTTAAAACAGTACTAATCAAGTGACTCCAGACACATAATTGTCGGAAACGTTCGAGTAGCTTCATAGAAGATAAGCCACTAGTAACACTTCACTGTGGCAGAATTATTCATCGACCGGCCTAAATCCCCGAAGTCGTGCTTCAAATTTCCGCGTAAAGACAATGTTCAGCGTAGCAAAGTTAAATTAAAGTCAAATGCGGATTCGACTGTGGTCCGTCGGAGCTTATGCAGACCATGCCACCTGCGCTCCGAACTAGAAGCACTGTAAACACAATCTGTATTGAGCCTTTGGAATATGCCCTGGTTTATATACTGTATTCTGAGTGTATTGTATAATATTCTAAATTCAATTTTATATGAAATCATAGTGGCGTAATGGATAAGACATCCGGTTTATTCGTATCGAGCAATGCGACTATGCCAGTGTTAAAATCGTGCAGGCTGGTATCAAGTTTTCGAATTAAATAGGATTTTTTTATTGCTTAGATCGGTGGATGAGTTCAGGGCCCGCCTGGTGCTAAATAGTTACCGGAGCCCATAGACATCTATGACGTATATGCCGCCACCCACCTTGAGATATGAGTTCTCAGTATAGTACAATGGCTGCCCCACCTTCAAAACGAAACGGATTCTGCTTCACGGCAGAAATAAGCAGGCTGGTGAATAGGTACCATGCAGACTCACAAGATGTCCTACCACCTAGGTTTTCTTTATATATTTTTGGCTCGTCGTGGCCTAAAGAATAAGACACCCGGTGCATTCGTATCAAGCGATGCGACTCTACCGATATTAAAATGTAATTTGTAGCCACCTAAAGTTACGTAATGAGCTTGTTTATCAGGCTATGTAGGTAGTAAATAAATATAAAAAAATTAAATTGGAATATAGGTAATAGTATTTTTAGATTTGATATATCTTACATGATATAATTAATACTCTACCTAGCTTTTTATCATCTAAGAACGAGGAATAAAGACGAAGGCTCACGGAACAACAAATAAGCTTTTAAATTATGAATATACCGTCACCTGCATCATTACTATTGAATGAATTTTCTACATGTTAACCGTGCTGCGTTTACACAATTTCATGTCAATATTTCTTAGCTTAAAAGGTGTGTAAATAAAGGAGCGTGAAACAATGCGAGGAGAGCAAACAGACGCCATAAAGCACGTCAGGAAGACGAGCCTATATATAATCAGCTTAGTGATAAATTGGCAAACAGCACGCGAGCACAGGTTCTTCCGAAGTCATTTGACAACTGACATCTGTCGCGACTTGTTGTTTGTACGGTCGATTGTTATGGATTAATTTATTTGATGTGTGAATGTTTATCTGTTTTAATGAAACAAATTTTATTTGAGTATTAATTGGTTACTTCATATCGTATAGTTTTGTAAAATATGATTTATTATACACCAAAATTACATACAAATGCAAAACGATAACGACTCTTCTAGGCAACTGACATGTAGACTAGAATCACTGAAGGAAAAAACTTCAGAGGTGTCAAGGGACACCCGGATGGAACGAAGTTCCTTTCGATTAATTAGTGAAGGAATTGTAAATTTTTTTTTAAGTTATAATAATAAATTACGGCATTATGAAGAAGAAAAAAACAATACTATGAACTAAATTACTATTGTTGAAACGCTATCTCGAAAAACTGTACTCATTACGCGGACCAATCGGATACGAGCAATGTCACGCGATAAGCGCCTACACGTTGATTGGTCAGAATGACGAATCTAAAAAGTGTCGTGACAACTTTTCGTAAGAATTTTTTCCGTCTAGCCCCCTTTCACAACGCGCGATAAGGAACTTCGTTCCAAAATATTAATTGCACGCTACTTACAGATTATACCGACCCAAAATATCATTTGACCGTAAATTACGTCTATGATGACGATGTCCTTATTGTGAGCTCGCTTGATCTGCCTATATTTACAATATTATTGAGGTTTCGACCTCATGTCTCAAGATGGGGAGGCAGAATTTATGTTGTGACGTCTATGCGCTCCAGGATCCATTTAATATCAGGGAGATCATGTGTGCTCATCTGTTCAGTTAGATCATAAAAACATACTGGCATACTTTGTAATCACTGTCTTCATAAATAGCGCACTGATGAATCTAATTAGCTTTTATTGTGTAATTATATTTTAACAAATATGTCCGAACTACAAAGCGGAATTGTTACTGGGAAAATTTAATACGTAATAGCTTAAAAGAGACCCTATTTTATCAAAAACGAATGATGTCTTACGCTACACTTAATCTCGTACATAATATTAAATGAAACATCTTACCTGCAAAATATAGAAGTATTTGCAGTAGGGCAGACACTGCAGCCGTACCCACGAGTCTGTGCATTGTCTACGACACGCTTACTTCATGGCCCGACATTGGAACTTATTACGACATATTTTCGTAAAAGATTTCCATTATTAATTTGTTTCATCGTCGACTAATATCGTTTAACATATTTGAATTGGCACTTCGTTCTTCATATTTCCTCTGAAACCAAAGTACATTTGTTAACTCTATTGTGAGGACACAAAATATTTTTTTGTTTCAAATTTTGTCTAGAATTCTAGATTAGTATCATAATAGTATTGTTTTTTGTTCATTGTATTGTGTTTTACAGCATTACTTATTTTAATTCTAGATTATACTGTACTTATAAATTAGAATGAAAAATCTTCCAGTAAATGTTAATTTATATTCGATGTAATACTGTTTCATTTATATTAACTAAATATCTTATCGTTTTCTAGCTGTGACAGCTGTTTGTTTCGTTCGTAAATTATTACAGCCCTGATAAGTCTCCCTTTTGGTTACATGACTGTAACCGGATTACGAACTAAAGAGAATTACTGTTTTAAAGACCACTGGGCTATTGTTCGTGTTCTGTAGTACGCTGATAATGGAAATTTGATATGTCGCGTACCGTGTTGTTCAGCCCCTGAATTTTAGACCCCAGGTTTGTTTGCCTCATCATATAAATAAACGTAAAGTAGTGTGGCATCACGCGAAGCGGTCGTTAACCCTGCCTCACGGTGTACTAATGGAGAGGTGAGGGTGTCATTGAGGCCGCAACATAACCGTTTCAGCGCAGTCTGAATGTCAGCTAAGGAACTATGATTAGCTTTGGATAAACTAGTTTCCGGTTTACGGGTATAAATTTCAAGGACGTATTCGATTGGTTTATTTTATCTGTTCGATTTGGAATTGTTTTTTTAATTAGTAATAAAACTAGAACAGCGATATCGGTTAACTCAAAATAAATGCGAAAGATGCAAGTCATTGCCTAATTTATTTAAAAAAAAAAAAACTTATTTGTGATTCACTGTTAAAGAATAGAAATATTGAAAAAGGTATGTATCCATTTTTTACTTTTTACAAAATTGTAACGAATGATACTACAGCGGTTGAGTGCGGGAGTATTTTTTAAAAGGTCCGCTTTTTAAAAGCCACTACGTAGTCGTATTGAATGCGTTTTAATGAAAAAACATGCGCCGATTCGCAACAGCGAAGGGAATTAAAACCCTCGCTCGGTACCGGATGCATCGGTCGGAATTTTCATTACCCCGAATATCATTTCCATAGGAAATTTCGCTGGCAATATTTTGTATTTTACAGACTGAGCCCTTTCGTATGTTGCCGTCACCTTATCAAGGTAAGCTTTATGTTTAACTTTTTGGTGCCTAGTTTTTCATTGCATTTCTGATTTATTTATAAACAATACAACAGTCTGTCTTTCTATAAAGTATTAATTATAAAGCTTAATCAAATACATTTTATATTTGATTTTCTGCTGATTTATATATTTGGGATGCTTTAAAATGAGGTCAGCCATATGATGTAATAAGTAAAGTATATAGAAATAAAATAACAAAATAAAGAAATATCAAATTATTAACTACACAGGTAAATATTACAGGTCTAAATATTACAGTCCGGATTGCAGGTAAGAAATTGCAGATACTTAAATTTTTAATTAACATTATTATTTCGTTAACTCTTTACGTCATGGCTTCGTTTAAGACCCAGTCGAATGTAATATTCATGTATGAATTAAAAATATATAAACACCACTAGTATTGTAAAACTTATGAAAATTTAACATAAATACAATAACAGCACAAATGAATAAAGTAATATGTTTCAAACATTTTTTTTTTGTTACTTGCTTCGATTATGTTTTAAAATGCAGACGTAAAAAAGTACTCACTGCTCTATAATATTTGAAAGTTATCTCGGGAAGAGTCACTTTTTGAATTTCCTCTCAATTGTATTTTACACTTTCATAAAGTAAAAGTTCAATGATATGTTTTAGCGTCTTAGAATACGAAAATTATCGAAAAGTTCCCGCCATTTCGCGTACAGTCTAAGCTCTGTGCCCGTCTACCCGCCAGCATGTGCGCGGTACGACTGAAGGCTTGTACGAAAACAGCCTACACGTTCCTACTTGTCTACCTTTCAAGCTTTCCACAGCTAGCTCTAAGTTCAAAGGGACGTATAAGTCAACTGTGTCCATTTGAAAATCAGTTTTATTTAGCAGTGATAAGGATCGTTAAGCAACAAAATATACGTCAATATATACGTTTTTCTTTCTTCAAATGTTTGATTCGATCTTGTCTAGATTGAAAAGAGATTAAGAACCGGGATCTATCAAGTAGAAATAGGAGCACAGTTACCTATATATAAAGTTGGATTCTAGTTAAACTAAGCACAACGAAATCTGTGCGGCATACCAGAACCAGTGTAAATTTTTCCTTGCGAGACAGAGACAAATACAGTTTTTCGCGATAAAGGGAACGGCCTACGCGATTTTCGCAGTGGGGATGATCTTAAAATGTCTCAAGAAACGTTATAAGAATAAAAATAGCCCTATGCTATCTATTTTGATTCAATGTAGATTTCTTACTACACATACATACTGGGCTATTTTTTGATATCCTATACTCTACATTCGACTGCCGTTAGCACAAAAAGTGCATCAATAAAAACCTAATTGTAGAGTCGTAGTAGACCTCATTCATAAAACATTAGCAGGGAACATCCTCTCAAAGGACCTAACTCCAAGTAGATGTTGTTTATTTTGTTAGAAAAGAAAGCCTGTATACAACGGAGAACGCCACATGTCAGAGCATGAATAAAAGAAGAGCTATGTTTCAGACTTTCAAAAGTTTAGTTGGTATTTTTCGAAGCGATACCTATGTTTTTCATGTTAGAACCCGGTCTTTAGTGAAAAGTCGAATCAATAAGTTGTATCGAGGCTTTGGAGGCTTCATCTCATTCAAACGTGAGCAGAATCAACTATCATTCACACTAACGTTGTGAATTTAAAGTTCATTTTTACTCATTGTTACTTTAGCCATGATTTCGAGATGGGGTGGCTTGTTTTAAATTGAAGTTCATTTTATATTTTAAGGTACCGAATGAATTCATGTACCAACTGTCTCCTTCATATAAAATCTACAGCCCAAACAAAATGTTTGACTTTTAATAGATACTAGTGGTACCGCAGTAGACGAAATTCGACTATAATCAATTGAAATTATAAGTGTCAACATTATTATGGTCCTATTGTTACAGATTTCGCCAAGACTACACTAAAGATAAATACTTGTAATATTAAAAATAAACAATACTAACCTATTCTCAATCTGACTACAGACTTTAAGCAATAATAAATTTTGACAATAACCAAAGAGTATACGTGCGTGTGTCTAATACATGGTAGTGTGTGTAATGTTTTCTTTATTGATTTAATTTATCTTTTATGCATCATTTAAAATAAATATTAGCATTGTGCACTTCTTCTCTATATTCTCTATAAGTGTGGAAAATTTCATTCTCCTCCGTTCGCGCAATTTTTGTAAAAAGGGATACAAAGTTTTTGTTTCACGTATTAATATATAGATATTTAGTAAACACATATATCTCTCGACTTATTCGCCTTCATAAAGCCAATTACGTTTATTATTTTGCTGTTTTGATCGCTAGAATTTGATTCTAGGCTTAATGTTTTTAGTGTCAATAAGATCTGTTAGCTTTTTATATTGGTGTACAATAAAAGTATACTGTAATCAATTCTATGTAAAATTGAAAAATAGGGTACGGTGAAATGTTTCAATCCAATGAATCGATACTATTATATTAAAGACCATCTTCAAGACTAAGCCGCGTCTCTTAAAGCGAGAAATAACTCTATTAGTACCTGCCTACTACTAATACCACGTCTTTAAAAGTGAGAAATAGCATCCCGGTATTATACCCTGCTGGGCCATAATCAGCGGGTGGGAACGCGATACACCACCAATCGGTCGCTCGCAGACGCTCCGTAGAACTACAACTCCGAAAAAGTGCTGTCACGTAGCGTGTTAGAGTTCTGGTAGCGCACTTCGCGGCCTCATACTCTCAGGTTTTTACCCTTTACCCTCACCGATAGGCCTCCTACAGACTAAACGACTTCCCTGTAGTTTTCTCCCGTGCCTTATTCCCGCCCGGGTTACGAACCCGAACCAGGACCAGCCTTCCGGATCGAAAATGCAATGCAATGCCAATCGCCTCATCACCCTCACTGGGTCGATAAGATTATTTATTACTGGTGGTAGGACCTTTTGTGAGTCCGCACGGGTAGGTACCACCACCCTGCCTATTTCTGCCATGAAGCAGTAACGCGATTCGGTTTAAAGGGTGGGGCAGCCGTTGTAACTATACTTGAAACCTTAGAACTTATATCTCAAGGTGGGTGGCGCATTTACGTTGTAGATGTCTTTGGGTTCCAGTAATCAATTAACACCAGGTGGGCTGTGAGCTCGTCCACCCATCTAAGCAACAAAAAAAAGAAAGAAAGGATGTCAATATACGTGAAAGAGTATGAATGTAATGAAGACAAAACACTTATCAGTAAACAAATCATTGATTTTGAAAAAGTTTAGAATTCTAATTTTTTTAACTAAATTCAATGTAATTTAGAATTTATTGTTAGCTATAGATAAATTACGTTTCGAATTGCCAGAATTGTAAAACGGCAATTTTTGTGTGTAAAGACTTATTATTAAAGATCCATTAGAATTACACTTGTAATAAATACAGATGATTTTGAGCAAGTAGCCAGCTCGTTCAAATAATATATAAAGTAATTTATGAGTCTTGCGTTTGACCCTAAATTTGCGCAATAAATTATAGTTTACTTTGTCGTTTATGAGGGCGGCTGCAGACATAACCCCGCGCGGAGCATGTGTAACAGATTGCGGCAATAAGGGAAATTGTCTTTTTTATGAACGCCGGCTACGTAAAGTATTCACGTGGTGGAAACGAGTTAAGACGGAGTGGTACTCCAAGTAAGCAGAGATCTGCCTTAATGATTGATTTACTGCAAAGCAGCAGCGCTTAAAGACGAACATTGTTTCATAAAACTACTTTTACTATTTAATCTGACGTGGATTAATTTGTAATTTCAGACTTGAGACTAGATTCACAGTTTTCGTGGTCACGGCTGACTAAAATATTGTTCGTCAATATTTGTATGTTATGGAAACTATAGTGTAATGTTTTATCAATAATTATTTATTGGCGCTTAAGTTTCTTATACAGTTAAAAGCAAAAAAATATCTTACGGACCATTTGCATAAATTGCATATATGCTATTCTTGAAATTTATACAAAAAAGTTGTGTGTTCTTTCTACAATATAACAGTGACTACGATATCTTGTCTTAAGGTGAGTGGCAACATTCAATCAGTTGATAAATAAATTGGCCGCCCATTAGCTACCTATCTATAAACTGTTCACATATTTAAAAAAATAAATTGTATAAATATTTAACTGTATAAATTTTATATAGTTATCAGATTTATCAGAATCTGAACAAGTCCAACTTTACTGATATTTTTACGAAACATTTACGACAAATCCGAAATACGTTAATTTATAACTATGATAATACTACATTATGCCTAATGATAAAAGTTGGTATGAACAGGTTGTCGTGGTTAAAGCATAAGATGCTCTATGTAGTCGTACTAAGCGTTGCGTGTACAAGTCACAAAATGCCTTCAGAGTTTGACCACCAGCATGACTATGCTGATGCTACTATGCTGACTATGCTGATGCTCAAATTTTACTAAGAAAATAGATATTTGACCAATGTTCTCGAAGCCGCTCGCGTAGGTAAGTCTTACGGGCCTGCCAATTAATGCCACGAAGCAGCTATGCGTTTCGGTCTCAAGTTTCGGTGGCACAGCCGTTAAACAACAATATTGAAATTTTCATTTCTGTTTCAAGGTGGTGGTTCTGGTAGCCCTTGATGCCAAATGAACCAAGAACTCACTTACTCATCTATACAATAAAAAACCTATTTTGCCATATTTCAATGATTTCTGTTTCTTTTATTCTTGTTGCGCCAATATAAACCCGTGCGGTTTCAAACCAGCATCCAGTGCACCAACCCAACTTTATTTAAATATCTCGATGGTTAGTTTAGTGGGGGACGACTCGATGGATGGTTAGGTTATCTATAGTATCTAAAAGCTCTGAGCTCTAGTTGCCGCTTAGACGCTTTAGGCAAAACAATTGTCTTCAGTTCTTCCAATCCAACTAGTACTGTTTTTAAGAATAATTGGAATGCTCAAGCAAAATGCTCGTTAACTGTTTAGTACGCATCCAGGTAAGTAATTCGCTTTGGAGACCTGTCTCTGCAGTAATTTATCTTTGTACCTGAAAGGTGTCCACTCTGAATTTAATCTAGACGCTAATTTCACGGGGAATTCCTTGCACACGAAGAAAGCGCAACTTTAGTCTAAAGCTGTGACATGAAATTTTTATTCCCCGTAAATTATGCTATTCGTGAAATAAAGATTACCTTTTATTTATACCTTACCTATGATTTATATTTTCTGTTTATAAAATTTAGTTGGCTTACGATTATTTAGTTGCTTGTGGACTATATATTATCAACTAATTTCGGGCATGCTGTCATACGAATAAGAAATGCGTATCGTATGTATGACTTTAGATAATCTGAAAGGCATTGAATCGAGCCTAATCTCGAACAATTAACCTTTTTTATTGAAAAACTTACGTAACAGCTAGTACTAACTATGCTAATTTTATAAAAGTTTTATAAATGGGTCAATAAATTAGAAACATTCAACTTGTCTTTTCAAAAAATATCATTTCGCCAACTAAATGCATCTTAGTACATTTGTAAAAAGCATAGAGATAAAATTTACAAGCTAAAAATGTCAATGTCAATGTTAATTATGCTTTAACTCAAATCCCCAAAGGTCAACAAAGCGATGTCTTATTGTTTTCTTAAATACTTCATCATTAAACATCTATTTCTTACACCGTACTACTTGAAAATTAAATCACTTTGCAGTTGTTTGAGAAATCGGAAGTGAAGGAAA